GGTGGTTTCTTCCTCCCCCACCAAAGTACTTTCTTTCCTTATTCAAGAAATCATTAACCTTACTCTTGGACTAGGTAGCCTTACGCATTTTAGTGGGCTCTGGTTTCCCCTTGGCTTTGAAGTTGGCAATGGTCTTGGTTGTTGTAAGAGCTAAAACAATGTCCATGATCCCTTTATAATCAATTTTAATATAAGCCTATATGGAAGAAAGTGTCCTCATCACTTACCTTTAAGCTTCTAAGTAGGAGTTGAGAAACCTCATTCATATACTCTATCAAATTCCCTTTTCCTTCTAACCTTCTTAACTTAAGCTTTTCCATTATCTCTAAGGGGAGAGAAATATTGCTCGAACTCCATTTTGAAGCCTTCACACGTTTCTACGACCTCATTCGAACGGTCATCATACAATCGCCTCCACTATAACAAGGCAAAGTAAATAAGATATAAAGTAGCTAGACTAACCTTCTCTTCCTTTGTTTTTGATGGTGGCTAACTTGGAATATTGCTCCAAGCTCTAGATGAAGTTGTCCACTTCCTTGGCGTCCTTTCGACCCTTAAACTCTTTTGGTTTAGGTACCTTTGTCCTAATAGTGGATTGAGCCAACACTACCTTCTCAATGACAATATCAAATAGAGCTTCTAGCTCTATTGGCTCTCTCCCTGTTTTTGTTCAAGTTCCTTCTTCATGGCTGCATTATCCTCCCTCAGTGATCCCGCCTTAGCCAACAAAGCCTTCGTTCCAGAAGTAAGATTAAAGAGCATCACCTACAAGTTCTCTGTTAGCTCCTCATTGAACCTTCCTTCTTCGAACTCTAGCAGGTCGGCATGTCAAGCAGAGTATGCCAAGGACATGTGAACTTCTCCTGTTAGTCTCTATTGCTTGGTCCTCGTCCTTCTCTGCAGTGTTGCTTGTTGGTCTCCATTGCTTCGTCCTTGTCCTTCTCTGCAGTGTTGCTAACCACTAGCAAGACTATTTTTAGAAAGCACAAGCTCATCACTCAACTAGTTATCGCATTAATACTCCGGTTGCGTTCCACCTAGTAGTGTTGACACTTCGAACAGTCCAACTTTGTCGTGGTTCAAACAATCCCCGTCCAAACCATCGTCCTAGTTTGAGTCTTCCTTGCTCGAAATGCGCTTCCTCGTTCAAATTGTCCATCTGATTCAGGATGTGGCTCTAACATCATGTCAATTGTTTAGTCTACATATGATTTTGCAGGGTCAAAATAAAATTAAAACATAGAAATATAATTTGAGTCATTCCCACTTTTTAACTCTTTCATATATAAAAAATAATTTGTAGTCATACTTTAATAAATATCTTTATGATATTTTGCTAATGTCATATCTGCCTAGGTTGGGTTGACGGAACAATTAATTGTTCCTGTACCTAATTAGTTTTAAAAGAGTTAGGTCTGGAAGAGGGTGTTTAACTTTACTTTATATTGATTAATTTATCATTTTAAACAATTAATTAATTATTTATCTATCGAGTAAAAATAAAACTGGCAGATTGGCATCTCACTTTAAGCTACAAATAAGTTTGAAAAATATTGAAATTTTTTATTATCACTTTATATTAATTATTTAATTTTATATTTCTTTTTTTCTTGGCTGATTTATTTATTTATTTTTTTATAATGGGCATTTTAATTCAAGTAAATAACTGTTTATTTAGCAAATAAGCAGTATAATACTTTAAAAGCAGTTATTATTTTAAACAGTCACTGTCTAAGCAATTTCAAATAAGAAAAATCGAATGCCTTTTAAATCATTTGTTTAACGTGTGCTTATCAGTGAAAAGACAAAAATTCTTTCTGCAATTTTTTACAAATGTCGAAGCTTATTTGTTTTTTCTTTTTTTCTTTTCTTTTCCTCTAAACAAAAGCACAAAAGTTTTCCATTTTCAATTTTTAAATTTTTTTTGCAAATAAAGAATAAAAATTTGAGAACATTAGAACATTGGAGGGCTCCAGCGCTCCCCTTATGGAAGATGTATATTTAGAACGGTCAATGTGTTGAATTTTAATTCAAATTTGAACTAAATTCGATCCAAATTTTAGTAAATAAATTTGATTAAAATATTTAAAGAATCAAATTTGATTACAAATATTCGTAATTCAAAATAATTGAATCGGATATATAGAACTAAGCAATTCAATTCGTTAAAAATTTAAATCTAAAAATTAATAATATTTTTATTAAATTAATAATATTATATATATAATATGAATATATAATATTAATAAATTTAAAATTGTATGAATAAAATTGAGAAAATCAACAAATTCAAAGATAAATATGATTGACGAAATAAAATTAAGAGATCTTTAAGTACAAAAAGTATTATTTTCTTATTAAATTAGATTTTTTTTTATCAGATTTTAGATTATCCATCAAATTCAGATATAATTTAGTAAATATAAATGTTACAAGATTTAAGATTATATTTAGATATGAATATAGTTAATCGGATTTGAATTCAAATTTGACTGATTTGATCCAAATTTGACACATTTACAACTTTTTGTGCATTATTACCTTTAAAAATTGGAGAATGTCAAAATTTTTTTTTTTTTTGTTTTACTTTCTTTTGATAAAGATTCTATTTGTGGAATGCTGACATAATAATTAATTGAAAAATAAAGCATAGTTTTGTTTGAAGTATTAAAAGGTCAAGTTAAAAATGATAATTCCTCAAGCAATTATTAGTTATTCCAAACGAGCATATTAATTGTTTTATATTGTGAAAATTAAGTTACATGGTAAACCGGTGGTAGCTTAGGCTTACGGTCATCTCACTGGTATTTGACATTGGGCCGAACCAAGCGGGGCGGCGGCCCAGCGGCAAATAAACCGCCATGTCATGTGGTCCCAATATTTGAGTTGATAGATCAATTTTAAAATTTATTTCAACGCTTCTGAATGGTCAAGATATTTACTGAAGATGAGAATGCAAGCCACTGCACAATTTCTAAGGAAGCATTAGGTCCTAGTTCCCACAACTATCTTGTAACAGTATCGGAGACCAAAATCTGTCCTTTGAAGAAAACTACTTCACAAAAATAAGGAAATTCTTATAGCCATAGGGAAATTCAACTGCACAAACAAGACAAGATAGAAGAAACCAAAGGAAACCAGATTTTGGTGATGAGTTTCATCTCAGTTCTTCGAAGTAAAACAGAGGCCTGAAATGGAGGAGAAGAATGGAACTGTTTTCTGCTACTCCCAGCAGAAGGGAAGTGTTTGCGAGGTTTCTTCGTTATTGGAGGACGAGCCATGCCCTACATCAAACATTCCCTCATCGGAATTTGGACCCAGCACTAAGTTTATACTCTGCAGACTGTTGCTTTGCAGGCTCAGGCCAAAGGGATGTGGTGTTGGGATCGAATTGGGTGGTGCCATGTGGCTAGGAATGATCTCGGGTGAACGAATTGGAGGTGATGACAGAAGAGAGAGAGCACAATTAGAGTTGAGGGATTGAGTTGACAACCCAGGACTGAGGAGTTCACGGCCACGGCCACTGGTTTCTGGTGAAGAATAAAATTGCTGGCCACATGAGGCCTCCGAAGATGCTTGGTTGCTGAGCACAAGAGTGCTTCCATGAACAAAACTGGATGGCTTCCCTTCTCTATAGCTGCTGGAGGAGGGTCCAAGATACTGGCTGTGTACAGGCCCGTGAAGGTGCCGATTGTAAAGCGGAGAGTCTTGCTCGGTTTTGACATTTCCAGCCCAGATGGGCCTTGAGAATGCAGTGGCTGGATATGATTCTGCGCTAGAAAATGGAAAGAGTCTGGTACCTGAAACACGTGCCAAGAAAGAGAAAACAGAAAGGGAAAAAAGGAACTTAAGATCAGTTTCTCTTTACAAGACAGACCATAAATATGCCTAATTAGTAATACTATATTTGCCCCTATGAGGAAAAGGGGATTGGGGCTTGGGATTCATAATGAAAGTATGGAGATAAAGATCTGAACCATGGTAATCGGACAAAAAGGTGCTCGAGCGTGAGAAGGGATCAGGTTGAGACTTTCTTCTCCTGCGGTTATGTCCTTCAAGACGTTTCCTGCAGCTTCTCTTCCCTTCATCAAATTCCTCTAGTGAATGGAATCTACATTTTCCGAGTGATGGCACAATTGGTTCAGGCTTATCAAAATGAAAGGAAAAAGAAAGAAGCCAGATAAAGTAAAAGCACCATCTCTTTTGTAATTCATTTATGTTAAAGTAGAAGGGATTAATATATTTTCTATGTGAAGAACAACACAAGGAAGCATGTCTTGAATCTGCTTCTTTCAGCTAAAACAAAAGTGGAACACATACAAAAGTAGATACTGGTTGAAACACTAAATAAATCAAACCAGTATATTTCAGAAGATCTGTATTGAGACTAAGAAGCCCTCCCCCAACACTTAATTTAATTGCAATATCAGACTAACTGAAGGTAGATACTGATTTAATCTATGCATTTGCAGACTTTAGATTATTAAGGGTGATCCAAAGAACCCACTGCTGGGGATGATAATCAACTGCATCATTGATCTCTAGCAAGGAAGATAGAACCTATGCAAAGGCCAGCCCACAACCAAGTAAAATGAAGATTCCTTTTTTCTTTTACATTTTTTTTTTTTTTTTTTTTTTGTGTTGAATAAATTGAAGACTTGTCCAGCTAGAGATATTGCTAGAAGACCATAAATATTAATCTCACACAAATAGCACCAGCTGATCCATTTTCAGTAAACTAAAATAGACCTCTTCTATGCCTCCTTACTATAACAAGACAAAAAAGTTGAAGGACAAAGCAATCTCAAATGGAAGAAAAATGACGGACAAAGCATTCTCAAAGCAATTTACTGGTCAGCCTCTAAGAAAATTAAAATCAGAAACACCGTAAGCCACAAACAGAATACAGAACCAGGTGTTCTCAATCTTACGTAACAGAAGTATGTGGTAAAAACTATCAAAGTACAAAATATTTCAAACGAGTCTGGGAAATTGAGAGATTAACAAGCTTTTTGCGCCGGGCAAGGCGGAAATGTGAGGGAGTACCTGCTGCACTGCTGACAGAAACGCTGCTTGAGGCCGCCGATTGTGACCTCCGGAGCCTTAGAGTGCATCTCACAGACCTTGTGGCGCCTGTGGTACTCCCTACACCCACTAAGGTCCGCATTACAACCATCCACCACGCAGTACGCCACGTTAACTCCACCGTCCACTGCCCGTGCCCTCTTCGACGGACCCACCGGTGGCATCAACGCCTTCTTAGGGACGCCTGGAGCCGCTAAATTGTCCCTGGACTTGCTGTCGCCGGCATTCACTACATGACCTAGCTTCAAATCAACTGAAAAATCAACTTTAATCTGCTCACCTCCCAAACTGTTTTCTTGCTCAAATTCAGGTATGTCCCATGATGACGAAGTTGTCTTCCTCAAAGTCCAATCCATAGTACTAGGTCACTTTAATCCTACCACCACTCTCTATTCAGTGTCTTCTCTCAACACAAGGCACTGCACAATAGTGTCAACACAGAGAAGAGTAATCAATCAAAAATGGGAAACAATTTTTTGTGCAAATTGATCCATTTATTGAAAATCCTAGCAGTTAGAAACAACTCAGTTCGGAGGAATTTGTATTTTGTAGCTTAGAACTAGCAATTTCCAGAACTAAGAACGCGACAGGCAATAATATATACAAGAGGGAAAACCTTGAAATCCAAATGGGCGACCACAAACAAATTGCAAACGACGGGAGTTCACTTTGGAAACGAAAGTACTGAGAAGCTAAGTTGTAGAGATAACCCCAAAGAAATTGGAAGTCAATAATATAAAGAGGGTCCTAGCACTGGCAGTAAGTGCACAATAATTATGTCTTTTGGGGAGAGAGAGAGAGAGAGAGAGTTACAGACATGTGGAGCAGAGGAAGACTGTGAGGTTTCCAGCCATTCATTCCCTGGCACCTTCAATTAAGTAAGAACAGATGGTAGAGAGGGGATAATATCAACAGGGCTAAAAATTCAAAAAAGAAAAGCAGAAAAGAATTGAAAAGCAACGGGGATGCAAGATAAAGAGTGGCACCCAGTTTGGATTTCTCGTGCAGACACTGGGACGTGTATGATGCAGGAGGGGGGAGAGAGACAGAGGGAGGGGGGGGGGGGGGGGTGGGGCGTGGGAAATGAGAACAGTTCATAATTGTGTGACAGACTAATCAATCAAACTACTCCATGAATGGAAAAAGTTGTTCTGCACTTATTATTGTGGTTTCATACTTCGAAAAATAAAGAAATTCAGCGACTTCTGCTAAGATCATTAAGTATAGTGCTATTTTTCTTTTTCGTTTAATGCTTGTAGAAAAATTATAAATACAAAAAAAAAAAAGAAAAAAATATTTATGGGTGTGGCTAATAACTTTATTAGTTGAGATTGTTCTACACATTTTAAATACAAATCAACAAATTTGGTAATCCGATTTTAAGCATATGCAATTTTAAATTTGAGCTAAATGTAGCTTAAGAAGAATATGAATGTAAGTCAAATTACGCATAATTTTTTTGTTTAGATAAGAACAAATCTTAATTATGAATTAATAATACTCTAAGAGCCACCTTGAGAATTGCATGTGCATATGGAATTTGATTTTTTTTGTGTCTGTGTTTGATTGGGTTTTGTTTGTTTGCGTGGGTCTTGTTGGATAGCTGTTAAGAATGATAAAGATGGGTATAACAGGGACAGGGTTGTTTGTTCCTTTCCAACTTTATAGAGCAAGAAAAGAAGTACGGTTGGATGGATGGTGAAGACAGTGCATGTGGCTTTGTGCTTCACATTCCATGGCATATTTTGGAGTGTAAGCATCTTTTAGTTTGAATAGCTACTCTTACGCTTCTCCGCTCCCACCCTCCGATATTTTACGCAACCACGTCATCACCGAAAAGAAATCCACTCCCCGTCACAGGATTAAAGTGGTCGGCTGCATTGGAGGCCTTGTTTCCTATTAAATCTTTATTTATTTATTTATTTTTTATAAACTAACTTTTTTATGATTATGACAAATACATAATTTAAATTTAAAATTGGCCGTACGGTTCACAAAAAATTTATAATCTTTTCCTTAAAAAACCTTATGAAAATATTGGGATTAAAATGTGATGAAATAGTTTGTAGTATCTAGTGTCACATTTGTTTTTAACATAATGTAATATATAAAATTTTTAATAATTACTATTGAATAATTTGATTTTAAGTATTTTGAGTAGTATTTTAGGTTTAACAAATTGTTGATGTCAATAATTTTCTAGTTATTTTAAATGATATTAAAGTAAACAATTCTTAGATTTGTTCTGTTTAGATGCAAATAACTTGAAAAAAAGGTCAAGTATTTAAGTAAAAAAATTTATAATATCTTATTTCGTATCAATTTTCAAATATAATATTATATAATATATAAAACTCTTGATATTTATTATTAGATAATTTAAATTTATATATTTTGTGTCGATTATTAGGATAGTAAATCTCTAATTGTTACATATACCAAATAGAATCACCTTGAAGGGTTTGAGTTTACAAGACATCAATTAGTTTCTGTAAAATGGGTATATGCCACATTGGTGAAAAACAAAAATTGTGGAAACGAGACTCACAAATGCTACAAGAAATCAGATGCAAACAATTTTATCCTTTCAGCCTTGGAAGAGATTGCATTTGATTCTAGTAACCCTCATAACAGATATAACAGCTAATTTCATCAAGGCACGGACAATTTAGGCTGGATTGACAGACTGTAACAACCCAGAATTTTTCAATTTTTATTTGATTAAGGACTAATCTGTAGTAATTAATTTGTCTGGGGACTGAAGCGAAAATAGTTCAGGGACTGTTTTGTGAATGACACGAGGTTCAGGGACCTGATCTACAATTTGTAGAAATCTGGCATGAACAGTGAACAAATGATGGTTTTTCACCAATCCTTCATGCCGTGTAATGATTTTGACCAATTATTCACGCTTTTGCGTGTGTATTTGAAGGCTCGACTTAAACCCTCAGCTGATTTCAGTCTTGAGTGAGAGTGGGTGAGGGATTTAAAGATTTTTCTGGGTCATTCGGTTCGGCAGGAGCCGAGGGGGAGAAAATCCGGTTTTTGAAGGATTGTTGGGCTGTTTGCTCCGATTAGCTGCAGCCGTGGGAGTCGCCGGGACCGGAGCTGAGGACGGGGTGGATCGATCGAGCAAGGTAAGTGGTTTTTCCGGTTGTTTTGCTTCATTTTTGCCTCCGGGTCATGTTGCAGACCCGGGAGCGGGTTCCGGGTTAGGAACCAGGTTGGGACGACGGACCCGGTTCCATCCGGGTCCGTGCCGAGTTAGCTCGGCCGAGTCGACTCGGCTCACTGGGTCGACTCGGCCAGTTCTTGTGGGCTCGGGCCTGGGCTGGTTGGGCCCGGGCCAGGAACCGGGTTGGGCCACGGCCCGCGGGCTTGGCCTGCGGGCCAGAAAAAAAAAAAAAAAAAAAAAAAAAAAAAAAAAAAAAAAAAAAAAAAAAAAAAAAAAGAGTGTTGGGCTCGGGCCGGCCCAACTGAGTGGGCTGCCCCAGATGGGTCCGAGCCGCGGCTGAGCCGAGCCGAGCCGATGGGCTGGCGGCTCAAGCCGAGCCGCGGCTCAAGTCATAAAAAAAAAAAAAAAAAAAAAAAAGAGGGAAAGGGGTTTGACCGAACCGGCCGGGACTTTGACCGGCCGGTTCAGTGGCCATTTTGGCTTGGTTTTGGGAGGTTGGACCGGTTCTGAGTTCAGGGGGATGAGGGCTATCAGACCAAGTGGGTTCGGGAAATTTTGGGCGCCCGGTTCGAGGTGAATCGGCCTCGGTTTGCGTGCCAATGCTTAGGGTTAGGGTTTTTGGCCCGGTTCGGAGCTGGTTTGAGCCATTTTTTGGCCAGTTCATAGTGGTTCCTAGGGTTTTTGGGCCTTCTGAATCCGATTTTGAGGGTTTCGTGGCCGTTTGAGTTGAGTCGGAGGTAGTTTTAGATCGGGCTAAGCCGGTTCGTGGGTTTTAGAGACGGGTTCGTTGCGGTTCGAGTTTTGTGGAGGCTGGTTCCGTAGTTTTGAGGGTGGTTAAGTAGATTTGTTCTGAATTAGTGAGTCGCGTAGGTTCTGGTGACAGGTCGGGTTGCCTCGAGATGCGTGCCAGGGGGCCAGTTTGGGATTTTAGTCCGGTTTGAGGCTACCGAGCCTGTTCCTTGTGCCGTTTTTTGCGTTGGTGATGGTTTTGTGTGATTTTGATTGCAGATTCGCAGGCAGGGGCACACTCGGATCACTGAGTCAGGTTAGGTGACTCGGGACTCTCGTTTTGGCTTAGCGTCTGTACTGTGAGTGATGATACCCTCTCTATGCTTGTGTTTTCATACTGTGATTTTCAGACATGATGATTATGTGATTTGAAAACTGTACTTTGATTATGCGTTATACCCGGGATATGTGTTATGTGTTTGGTGAACTGTCAGTGAGCTATGTTAGTATGTGATACTTGTTTTGAGATGTGAACTGTATATGTTACGTATACCTGTTTTTGACTATATGTGAGGATGGTATCATCTGATGTGAGGCGGCAGAGGCCGCGGGCGGCAGAGGCCGCGATGTGATGTGTGATGTGAGGCGGCAGAGGCCGCGGGGCGGCAGTGGCCGCGGATGTGATATGCACTAGTGCGATTCCTCCGATCGTCGAGATGGTGGGTTCCTCCGATCGTGAGAAGACGAGACCGGGGTCTCGTGATGTGATGTGCACGGGGTGGCAGACTCAGCCGACGGACGGTGGACCGTAGCGTACGGGGAGTACCTTGGCCCGGCGATGAGATGAGTTGTGTGGCTAAGGGCTCAGCCGGCGGACGGTGTGCTACCGTAGCGTGCGGGGAGTATACTGACCCAGTGATGTGATGTGTACGGGATGGCAGGCTCAGCCGGCGGACGGTGTGCTACGTAGCGTGCGGGGAGTACACTGGCCCTATGATTGATGTGATGTGATGATTGATTACCTTGATACCTCACATATGTGTTTGATTACTGCTCACTGTATATATGTGTATGTATGATTTTTGTATTGGTGGCGTGATACATATCCCAACATGTATAGATTAGGTATCATCCGTACTCACTGAGTTTCGCGACTCATAGTTTTAAACATTCCAGATTCTTTTGACTGCACTCACCTCGGTTAGCGTGCCACGTGGGAGTCGACGACAGCGGACTTGATGGATGTACGGGCATTTCTCTTTTGTACTTTACCTGATTGTATTCTAGAGTAGCTTCCTTGTACTCTCAGATAGGATCCCGGGTGATTTTTGGTGTTATGTTATTACACTTTGTGTATGTTTTATATATTTTGAGTTCGACTAGTTTGTTGAGGCTTACTGGGGTCGGTGGATCCCAGTGCCGGTCACGGGCCCGGGGTTCGGGGCGTGACAC